CACCAAAAAAATTAACAATTAATTACAAAGAAACTGTCCAGCTAACTATGACGAAAACTAATCAGCACAATTTCCAAAATTGATTCAGGATTTTTTGTGAGGACGTGGACGTGGAATTTAGAATTTTGAGTTCAGTTGCATTAAATTCCTAAAATCGGTTTAGCCGTTTTTTGACAAAACGTCGACAAATTTTAGCTCACATATACACATCATACATACTTATTTCGATTTTGGTGTCAACCGATTCAGAAATTCTTGAAGCGACTAGGAAACATAAAATTAGTTACTTGGACGTTTTCAGAATTGTTAACATACCACTTTTGTTCTAAAAATTCGTTCATTATTTTAAATTATTTAATTTAAAAATAAATGGAGTGTTTGAGAGTTGACTCTGTTTGAATATTGCTTTAAATTAGATAAGCTAATTAATTAATCCAGTTAAAATTTTGTTCTTAGACATTTATTTCTATAATATCAATAGTATCTTTTTATATTGAAAAATAAGCCTAAAGCAATAAAATTAACACACACAATAATTTATATATATATATATATATGTGTGTGTGTGTGTATTTAATTTATATTATTCCCTTCAGGGTGTGTCTGCCTAAGCACGCAAATACCATAAGGCAAACAAATTTAAAAAAGCTCCTCCCAAAAGCTTCTGTTCGATAATTAACTCCAAAATTATCTTAAAGGGAGCGTTTAATTGAAATCTTTTTGAGAATCATGTTCAGAATTAATTAAATTGAATCAATATATTTTTATGTTTCTCTTACTAATTTAAGCTTCATTGTTTCTGGGTATTAAAAGCTTCTTGGTTTTGTCTAGAATTTCTGCTATTTTCTGCTACGTTAGAAGAAATAATCCTATGCAATTGGAATAGAATTCGAAAAAGGGAATTATTTTAGTTTTACGATATTATCTGAAAAACATATTGTTTGGAAACTTTGCAGTGGAATAAGTGCAGAAAAGTTAAGAAAATGATTTTTAATAATATTTTTTTTTGTTTGGTGAATTATTTCAGTAAAGATATGAAATTTATACAGGCGTTATAATAAACACAAACGAAATATATTTCGATCGTTCTAACAGAATGAGATATTTCCAAATGAGATATTGTTCCGAATCACCTGTCACCAATATGATAGAACTGTCAATTCGTCATGAAACACGTGACAATAAATCGATTGTTACTCTGACTGAAGGTTAGACTTATGTCCATAATAAAATACGCCAATTACATTAGAGGAAAAACGTTTCAGGTGGAAATTTATAATAAATACACGACCGGTAATATCAGGGAAAAGTATTGCGTATTATGTGCGGAATCGTAGCAGCAGGAAGAGTTTTAATTTATGGAAAATTTTGAACAAATTATTTTTGTAATATAATATTTTGTAAAGCAAAAGCAATGATAAGCGTCATATTTTAACACTTTATATGACGACTTACAAACAACTAGACAAACAAACAATATTTGCAATTGGTTATGCATACATGGAATGATTTAGAGAAAATGCTAAATGAATGATTTGTACAATATATTATTCATAAATTAAAAAATATAAATGAATAATACGATATAGCGTTATATTTTGTGAAACACTTTGTATATGAGCTGCCAAACAAATAATATTTGTAATTGATCAAGCATACTTCATAAGATTTCACCATCTATTACTCCATTAACGATAAATAAATTTTCTTGATGATATACTGTGAAATTTTCATAAAATTCACTGAAAATGTTGAACTAAGAATTTATACAATATAGTAAATAGATAAATAGTTTAATTTATTAACTTTTCGTATGGTAAATTCCAGTAATCGCAAAAAAATCGAAACTTTAAATTTTTCTGAAACATTTTGGCATATCTTAGACAAAATTGATGTGTGTGTTTGATTGTGGGGATACAAATTCCCGTCGACAATTTCGAGAACACGGATCAACCGATTTGAATGATTCGGAAAACACTCGATTTTTATTGATATGGAGACGTGCTGATTAGTCTTTGGCCATTATAAGCCGTTTTGATGGTACGGGGCAAATAATGCCAAAAATGGAAATTCAGTTTTTGAGAGAGCGGAGCATCTGATTAGAATAATTCAGAAAACGTTTTACATTTAGTATCGTAGTAGTAGTATAGAAAGTATTTACATCTTTGTTTAATAATAGTTTTTGTGGCAAGTGTTTTGGTCTTTGGCATCAGAAAAGCAATAAATGTTCAATAATCATTATCTAATATTGAATAAATCAAATAAAAATAGAATCAATTCAAATTAAAAATCAAATACAAAGAAATAAATCAAGTTTACCAAAAATGAATAAACACTACAATTACTATTACGATTTCCTATTCGTTACATCAATTAATCCGTTTTAAAATCAACTTAATAACGTTGCAATGGTTAAAATACAATGTCATATAAATGTAATAAAATAAAAATTTAATTGCCCATACACTTGCATAATTGGATAACTACAAAGGTAGTAATAAATGTCAACAACAAACGTTTGCTATCGTGTTTTGCTATGCAAATCCGGACTATTCTAGTATCCAATTGCCGCAGTTTACCGTATCACGTATCATTCAAATAAGTTTAATGGAAAATTTCTGTATCGGATATTTTGCCCGTAATTTGTATATGATTGAAATAACTACAAAATCATTCAGGTCGATTATCAAATCGATTTACGTTTTAATGAAAGCTCTTTGACACGTTCATATTTAAACTTTTTATGGAAATATTTTTCGTTACTATTGCGATAGGTAAAATCATTGCATCATAATGGAAAGCCTTGGATGTTAGGTTTTTGATCATTTTTAAATATATACATATATATATATATATATATATATATATATATATAATAGAAAGAGAACTAAATAATATTTTTTAAAAAACTTCTTATATCCCGAAAATTTCAAGTCAATATCGCGAATCCGTACCCCTGGTAGAACAATTAATTCTAGCTCCGCTATTCGCCGGTCATTTATCAGCAGTTTTATCTCCTCTCGATGCACAAATTATCACGAACAGAAAAACCGGTTGCTAAGAAGAAGACGACCAGTGTAATAAATTATTACCGACTCGGATTTGCGCTGATAAACAACAAATAAATTATATTCACAACGCGAACTTACGGCGTTGGCGAAGGCTCGGCGCATTTTGCGATGCACCTGGCCGAGGTGGCAGAAAAGAAATATGAGAAAATTATAAGTGTTGGAGATTTTTCTTATTTATGCTAATTGTGATGTTTTAATTAAAATGTGAAGTTAAATATATGATTAAAAATAAAATTTCAAGGAATCATATCCTAATTCACAAATATTTGATATAATATGTGGACATATTAAAGTTATTGCTGACTATACGCCCAAATGTGATAAAAGCACTTCTCTAATTTCATTGATTAGATTATTTCAAAATCCATTATATCACTTCCAATAAAATATGTATAATATCTCCTAACTAATAAAATACTTATAAAATTCCATCAACTTCCCAATGGGTCCCATAACGACCGAACACGTGAAACTGGTACAACTATTTCCAGAAAACAATAAAAATTAATGTTCCATCTTAAATCAAATTAAAAAAGTTTGAACGAAGAATCTAGAAACTTTTATTGGAAACGAGATAGTTCAAGGAACCCCGAGATCGGTATTTTAATCGTCCACTCGACTCTGGGGAGAGTATTTTGAAAGTCTGCAAGAACTATGTTTTTAGGTCAGTGACACCACGTTAATGCTTTTTTTCCTTTTGCATCTGAATTTCAAGGATAAAATAAGGTGTAAGAGAGTCATATATTATCGATAGTTCTTCTTCTTACGTATTCTGTGCGATGTTATACAATCAAAGAGGTAACTGACCACTTCAAGAACACGACTCCCTTGAGAGCCCCTTGTAATCACCTAGTCGTGAGAAGCAATTTCGAAGATAGAAAATTATACAACTTGCTAATATTATATAACAAATAGCCGATAAACAATGGATTGATGCCTTAGACAATATGAAATTTCATTCAATACTTTATGGCCAGGAAAATCTCCACCGACCTTTTTTCCTCAAATGTTTTGAGAATACCTGGTTTCTATAAAAATACTCGTATAATGCATGTCATAAACAACAAAAACAAGACCATTAATATCAATTAAGTCTTGGTCATCTTCCATCCGATAAAAATGTTCCCACAACTTCTGGTAATTGAAGTGATTCATTGATACGCATTCTACAGCAATTACCGACTTCTTTTGTGTAACCAATAATCATTTCTAGACGAGCACAATAAAATAATTAAGTTTGGTAGCCTCGCATGGCATACAATGGCACTTGTACATCAATTGACAATTATAATTATATATTATAGCATTGAATTATACTGATTTGAAGCGTTTCATTATTTGACAAAATAATTTATGAAACAAATTGATAGGGATTATGTTGTTTTAGTTATAATATATATATATATATATATATATATAACTACTTCCTTAACTTTAGCATAAAGCATTAAATAGTCTATTCCTTATTGTTAAACCGTTCCAACTAAAATAAGCAAGTTGATAAGAATAAATTAAATCGGAGTAATATTTAGCCATTTCTTTCTACAGAAAAAATCGAAGACAATAATTCTATAATTGACAGTTACGCATTTACAAATTAACGACAAAGGGCAATCTTACACAATGTAACCGCTGGCCGCTAAATTGATAAATAAGTTTGTTCCGCTTAAGCTCTCACACAATGGTCCCTCATTGACTGCACCTCATTGAATTTATTTATTTACTTTCTGTTTTGCGTATTCATTTATTGACATGATCTATCTGGATTAGTGATTCAAATTGTTCAACAATATGAATAGTAATTTATTGCAAAAATTATTCACTGCGTATAACAGCTTATAACAAAATTATGTTAAAAATATACCTTAACTTATTTAACTTAACTGCGTATTTAAGTGTATCACTAATAACAATTTATTTTGTTTCCAGATGAAGTATTTTGTGGTCTTTGCCGTGCTCGCATGCAGTTGGAGTGCACTTGCCTTCCCTCTCGGAGAAGAATTAGATGCAGCGAAAGAAGTCGCGCAAAGTGCGCAAGAAGTAGCTCAGGCCGTACCTCAAGATGTAAGCGACAAACTCAACCTGACGCCCGTAGCGGACCAACCACAACCCGAAGCGGAGAAAAAGGAAGAAGCACCGGCAGCCGAAGAAAAATCGGCTCCTGAAGAACCGGCTAAACAGGCAGATGAACCAGCATCGCCTGAACCCGCTAAAGTCGAACAAGCTCAAGAGGCAGCAGCCCCAGCAGCTGAAGAAAAGCCAGCTGAACAACAACCAGCGGCTGATGAAGCTGCCAAACCAGCTGCCGAGGAACCAGTAAAGGAAGCTAAAGCCGTGGAACCAGAACACCACGAGCACGTGGAATCAGAACAACACGCTGAACCAGAACAAGTTCAACCAGTTCAAGCTGATGCAGCACCCGAAGCACCAGCCGCTACTGAGGAAAAGCGAGCAGCTGAGCCACAAGCCGCTGAAGAGAAACAAGAACAACCTGCTCAAGACGAACCAAAAGCTGAGGAAAAAGCAATTGTCGATGATGCCGTACGAGTAGTTCGCGATACTGATATAACTGAACCAGCTAAAGTAGAAGAAGCAGCCAAAGCCGAAGAACCAGCCAAAGCAGAAGAACCAATCAAAGAAGCAGCTGCCGAGGCACCTGCAGCAAAGGCCGCTGTAGAAGAAGAAACTCAAGCAGCTAGCCATGATGAACCAGCCAAGCAAGAAGCACCAGCAGCCGTATTGCCAGAACCAAAAGCCGTAGAAGAGAAACAAGAAGAACAAGCTGCACCAGTTCAACAAGATGAACCAGCACCAGCACCAGCAGCCGAAGCTAGTCCCGCTGAACCAGCTAAAGAAGCAGCTCCCGCACCAGCCCCTCAGGCCAAAAGCTCAGAGGAAAAATCGAGCGAAGAAAAATCCAGTGCCGAAGAAGTAAAACCAGAGGTCAAATCTGAAGCGGTGGCTTCCGATTCCAAGGAAAGCTCCGAAGAAGCAAAACCAGCTTCAGCGTAGATTTATAAAATCAAACAAAAAAATTCAACGCGTCCCACGCTTAGTTCGATGGTAATCTCGAACTCAGCGTGAGTCCGTTAGGTTGAAGGCATCACGAAGCGCTTGCCAACAGCCGCGCCACGTGATGCTACCACACCCTTCGTTGTTCCAATTTACCTAATTTCCCAAAACCTTAGATTTTCCTTTAAACCATTCTCTATTTATAGCCCTGAGGCAGAAAAGGTCGAAAAGGGCAATAGGATATTTGAATTGAGATGTTTCCGCAAGACGGTCGCCGTGCCGTCTATGTTTCTAGAGTAGCGTAGACTGATGTCAAATTAAGACCTGCGGGTCAAGGGTTCTCTAGTGAAGTCAAGAAAAGACTTCCTTGAGCAAACCTACAATTGATTGAAACCATATATTTAATTTACGATTTTATCCAAATAAACTATTATGCAGTGTTCGAAATAATTCCCTATCATTCATTCTAGTATTATCTTGAATTAAAATAAATATAATTAGTTATATGTTATTGTAAGTGTAATACAGGCTTTCAATAAATAAGTTTTATAAATATATATTGTTTTTATTTTAATGAAACAAAATTATAGGATATATCGCTTCATCAATTTTAAATTAACCGATTTGATAAATTGTATAACATAATTAGGGAAAATGTAGCTCCATCTACAAGAAACCGCAATTACCTATTTTAGATTTTTACCTTAATCACGCTAATTAATTAAAAATATTTAACCTTAATTAAAATAATAAATGAAAAAAGTCATGACGTCCGAGGTATGTACAACCGCGAATAACTTTTTGGAGTAATTAATAATTTTGATAATCTAAACACTCCACGAATATTCGACGTCCAATTAAAATATAACTAAAAGTGTTATATTATAAATAATATAATAATATATAGCCACGATGAACATAGAATAGTTTACATGCCATGAGATAATAAAAAATCATTCCAACCCATCATTTGCATTGTTATAGACTTACAAATATATATATATATATATATATATATATATATATATACATACATTTAAAAAACAATCACTTACCTCATTAGTCATCAGGTAACAGCAGAGCACACCAAGACACCACCAGTCAACTGCATACCCATAGCCTTCGCCAGTGTAAATTTCTGGTGCTGAAATTAAAATATAAAATCAAAACACTTACCTGGCTAAATCTCTGTACTAGAATATGTACATACATGCATTCACACTTTCTGAATGTTTGTATTACATAGATCACAAAATATTAACAAATATTATGAATAAGAATCAATATGCTTGATAAAAGATCAATAACTTTTGCCATGACGGAAATTGATAATTTGTTCTACTCAGGTGCTGCTCATATCTATGACATCAAGAGTTGTACCAATTTCTGAAGGAGAAAAAGTCTTCTCCTGGTTGTCTGTATTCGACAAACAATGCAGTACCATTATTCTTCTGAATACTTTATACTTAAGTGTACAAGGCTTGTATAAACACACAATTCTCATACATATAATTCTTGGAAATCTCTCTTTTTAAAGTTGAAGTAACAGCTCAAAAAACTGATGAGACTTTGAACGCCAAAACTGATCAATAGAATAAAATAAAAATTTTACTGCCTTAGCTTGTAGGTAAAATTATTTTCAGATTAACTATTATCTTTCTTAAATATCTACACTTTAGTTTATTGCTAAATGTAGTAAGAAAAAATATTCCAAAATAATATTCACATTCTTCATAAATTTGATTTTTTCCAAGAAAAGGTTGTTTGACCTGTAGATTTTTATCTCTTCCAACGTTATCTGATTTTCACATACTCCAGCATTTTTTCTAAATCAAATATTATCCGTGAATTCAATAACACAGAAGCTTGATTTACATATAGTATATTTTTAATTGTTGAATATAGCTTGCTATTCTTTGTCATTCGCTTGATACATTGATTACAAATATTTATCTTAAGAAATAATTTATTTTGTAATAAAAATGTATATGTAGGTAAGTATATATGTACATACATAAAACCATATTTTTAAATGGTATATAAACCTATATGATTATTTATAGTATATACATATTATAATAATAGACAACTAATCGATCACAAATTTTAAGTCATTTATAGAAATGGTCTAGAAACCTTATTTCCAACCAATTTTGAAACATCTAAATTATAAGAATAGCTCATGAATATCGAAGAAGCAATTTCGTGCATGTCCTAATACACAGTATAGCTATCCAATTTCTACAGTAATATATGGACATATATTGTATGTAGTACATTATAAAATATAATGTAATTTTATGAGCAATTCAAATAATTCATAAATATATCTTCATATATCTATCGCACATTCTTATCCCATAATTTAATACCAGGTACAACAGAAATATAAAGGCTTGCTACATATATTTGCCTGGCGTTCTAAGCAAAACAATGCAACATCAAAATATTATATCACTCCTCCAGTTTTAATATATCTGATCCATATGACTAAATATTAAAAATTTATACCATATTGGCGAGACATCCTAGAACAATATATACTATATAGTATGATATAAAACTAACTATAATTTTGTATAGAAGTTTTGTTCTTATAAATCACTATTTACATATTTTAAAAATTTTGATAAACTTGGTCAAGCTAACATACTTACACGTTGAGAAGCTAATGTTAAAATGCAGCAGATTCACTCAAATATTTTTTATAAAACCAAGTAGACAATATAATTAAAATCTAAAATAATATTTCATGTTTGTACTTGTGTTAATTAACTTGGTCACTTGAGTAATGACTTTATAAATATCTCATATATAAAATGAAGGAAAATAATTGCTTGTAAGGAGCATCACAAAAATACATCGTATTAACTTTACTACACTTGTAACTTGTTTAAATAATTCACTATCCTTGCGACTCAATATTTATGTAATCAGCAAAAATTCTGGTCATTCAAAAAAAAGTTAAACACTTCGATTTAGTTGAAAATGAAATATCATGAAATAAATTTAATATTTTAGAATACCAGTTTCAAAAATAATTCTATTATATTCAAATTTAGTAAATTTTAAGTTATAAAAATTATTAGCCAATTATAAGATAAATAAACAACCTATGCGTTATCTTAAAAATATAATTTGTCATAAAATTAAAGTAGATAGAACATAAATATCAGCATCACTATTTAAGAAATATATACACAGTTTTAGATAACTTTTTATAGCTTGATATGCTCATACCACATGAAATATTATTCACAACTATTAAAGAGATAAAGTTTCTTTTATCAGTTTCTTCATAGAGTTACCAACAGAATTGGAAGGTCCATTAGTGCTATAATTAAATTTGAATAAATAAGGTTGAACATCTTCATACGATGTATCAAATATAAGTTCAAGTTCTGACTGATTCGGCATTTTTGGTACGTAATCATGCCTATTCATGACTTCTGTTATATATAATATTTTATCTGTAAGCATCTCGCCTACTTTCTCTCTGCAAACTTGCCTTTCATCTTCATTATTCAAATTTATTAATTCTAATCTAACATTCCATACCTCCCAGGGTATGCATTCTGATTGAAACGGCCAACGATTACGTTTCTTTTGAAAAAATTCTAGACTTATTTGTCCAGTACCAGTACTATCATTTCCTCGTAGAAGTGAGGAGAATTCAGATATTTCTCGTTTAAGAGTTCTGTCCAAACCACTAGAAGAACAGCATACGTATGTAAAATCTATAAAATCACAATCGACATCTGTGTATCCCAATGTACCAACAGAGTAACTGCCTTCATTGTTGTACAAAAATTTTCCAAGTGATCTATGAAACAACACAGTATGAAAAATACTAGCGACGGCCTCGTCTACTTGTCGGCCCTCCATTGTTAATTCAAATGTTTGAGATCTTGCATTCATCTTGCCTTATTTGCCAATCCTGATTCTGTATTTTCAACTGGTCTTTTTAAAGTGCAAAGTACTAGATCTATTACCATGAAAGAACGTGGCAAATATAAACATTCTTATTTTTCTTTTTGTGATCATTTGAATTACTATTCAGATTAGAATAGAGGGTATTATTGTAACTCCTTAGATGCCAATTTAGTTTTTAGAATCTTGGCAACATGTTCTGGGTGGCATATGCACAAATAAATTTTAAATTACATAAAACGTGGGGCGACTAATCCAATAGTTAAACGCTATGGAATAAGAATTCATATCTCACTGTCTTTGGACATATTGAAATGGAGCATTATAAAACAGGTACATACCCATATAAAGAGGTGTTCCACAGCGAGTGTATGTCCTATCACCAAAACTCAGCCATTTGGATAATCCAAAGTCAATAAGTTTAATATGACCGAGTGCATCTAGTAAAACATTTTCAGCTTTCAAATCTCGGTATATTATACCAGCATTATGCAAGAAATCTGTAAAATATGATGATCTGTAATATATGAGTTTAATCTATATTACTAATATGTATATATATATATATATGTAAATATATATTTACCAAGGGCGATTGCAATCTCAGCTGTTAACACTTTCACAAGATCTTCAGGAAATTGCTTTAATCTATGACAAAGTTGGAATAATTCGCCACCAGGAATATAATTACTAACTGTAAAATAATTTAAATGAGTTAAACTTTGGCAAAGTATTAACAAATCAATAAAACTAAGGTCATGCAAGCTTCTTAGACAAGTGGAATATCCGAGTGAATTGCAAAAAAAGCAGAAAAATAATCATTTAAATTAGAAACCCAGTAGTAACTTGTTAACAATGGTTAAAATTGTTAAGAAAGATACAATACAATAAGAATTTCAACTTTAATAAAATACTTGTAGATGAAACTAAAACTAATAACATATAAAGAAAGAATAATAATATTAACTAGTAATTACAATTATTACCTACCTATATACAGATGATGTTTATCTTGCCATTGCAATATGCAATTCACAATAAATTTATGATGACCGATAGATCTTTGTATACGAACTTCGTCCTTGACTTGTTGCACACTAGCTTCCTCTATAACCTAAAATCATCAAATTCAAAATATTTATTTCTTAGTTCAAATTAAACAATCAAATCATTATCCATATCCTTACTTTAGCTTTAGATAAAATTTTCAGTGCGTATTCTGTTCCATCTAAAATATTCTTAACCTTATGTACAGCTCCAAAAGCACCTTTAGAAATGAATTCAATAAATTTGTAATTTGAGTTTATTAAACTTTCTTTATATGCAAATTCAGGAAGAAATAATGCCTCAATTCGACGAACAGGCCATGTGGTTTTACTTTCTTGTAAATTTTTAGGCAGCTCACTGGATAAAGGACAATATGAATAAATACTAAGTATTGGTAAAATAATATTAAACTTACTTTTTTTTTATTTTAATTTTTTTTTGAGTTTGGATTCATATGGTATTTTACATTGACAATGACTTCAATTCTATAAATATTAAGTAACTGTTTATATAGATCAAAATCTTATCAATGTAACTCTAAGAAATGAAATAATTGCTTTCGTTACGATTTATGTGAAGTGCAGTTGAATGCAAATAATATATATAAATATATAATGTTTTATCAATGAGCAATATAATATTCAAGTACATGCAGCAATGAATTTCTAGAAACTTGAATACACCTTCCCAAGTATTTTTCAACATATCAAGAAACCTCAAAATAGGAATGAAACAAAACAATTAGTAGACACAATTCCATGAAGTTGAAATGTGGTAAAAATTGTGCTTCGTTAAACAAATATCTTACTGATTACCAATTGCATTTTTACATCACGATTTAAATATATAATATATTTAACTTGAGTGATCTCTTTCATAGGAAAAATAAATCCTATCAAAATATACTTTGAGGCAAATGGGGAAATAATTATTTCCATGCTTATAGGCTATATTTGTTTCAATTTCATAAAGTTGAAATGTGAAAAAATTGGTAATCGATTAGACAAGCTTTTTATGGAATATAACATTAATTGCAAACATCAAAATTTAAATAATACATTTAACTTGAGTATTCCTTGTAATGAAAGCATATCTCCTTTCAAAACATACTCTTGAGCATAATTATACTTGATGGCAAAGAAACTAATCCTACTTTAATATTTTGTTAATAATAAGTAATAAATGGATATTTGTGCAGAATGTTTGAAAAATGTTCTTCTACATATTACCTGCATATTATATAGCTTACTGCTTCGTAGGTTATAGTTTTTATAATAATAACAAAACTTCATAGTTAGTTTAAACGAACAATGATAAAAATGACAAAGAAACTAATCCAATACAAAGGACCTAATCAATCCTTTGTTCCCTGTACCATTGGAAGAACACAATGAATACTCAAAAATGCTTGTTTAAGAAGAAGTTCAAAATGCTACTTTGAAAAGAATTACTTGCCTGGTTTTAGGCCAAAATGATACAGATCTAGAAGTATATGTTCTTTCTCCAGTATTAACAGAACGTACACTGATATTAGATTTCCTGCTGAAACTGTTTGTAAGGCTGTTCAGGCTTAGCTGAAAAAATAACAACAATAAGTAACAATCGAAACAAATTGCAAAAAAATGTCTAACTACTACTAAGAAAATATAAAATTACGTACCTGGCTGAAATATTTCCTCGTTGTGTTTACTGTTTTAGGAGTCGATTCCGAATTTTTGACATCTGAATGCTTGTCATTCAGATTGCCCATATAAAATATTGTTGAGGAGAAGAGATGCAAATGAACTTGAGAAATTTTGAAGTCATAACTTTAAATTGAAAATATAGAATGTGTTTAATTGTTCGCTTGTGCTCGATTATTGTGATCCATAATCAGTAACAAAATATCAGAATGGTCATTGCGTATTAAAAACGTAGTAGTAGACCATAGAAAAAACAGCTGAGTAACATCAGTCCGCCATCTACTGACGTTTAACAGCTGTCAGTGTGGTACCTGTAAAAGAAAAAGGTTATTATACAACAAATACAAAAATATGAAATAAAGAAACATTTTTTGATTCTTGATAAACAGGTACAAACAGGATCAAATCATATCATTATGTGAAAAGCTTAAAAGGATTTGACCTTTTATATTAATGTATACAAAACCAATACAAAATAACCTTTTGTACAACTCACCTTGATATAACTTACAACTAGTAAGTATTTCTGAATGTAACTTCATCAATCACTTATATAAACAAAATCGTAAACATGTATGTAAATTCAATATAGATAATAAGACTAAATATTTATTTAATACGGTCTTGACATTCTTTTAATTCCAATAGTTTAATGTGCACTGATCTGTGCACATTTATTAAGTCTATTTTATTAGTACATTTACTAACTCCTATAATCAATGTGCAAACAACTTCACCCTGTTCTTAAATTAAATTTTGTAACATTACAAGCAATATTATTCTAATTTGTTTAAAACAATATAGGTAAATTAAGAAGAAAGACTGGATATCACAAACAAAGACACCTATTAAGACATTTCATTAATATTTTCCATGAAGATGAAATATAATTGAGTGTTTGAATATTTATCATATAAAATCCTCACTATGTTAAAGAATTCATTACCGACTTTAAAGCATTTCCATCACCAAAGGCAAATTGCTTTGTCAACCAACAAAAGATACTCTACAAATTTACCTGATAAAACAGATACTGAAAAGAAACGTTGGTCTAATCGATGGGCTAAACCCATATCAGAAATTGAAGGAGAATGGTCAAGTAAATTTAAATTATTTGCTCCGAAAAAAGGACTTGACCCAAGCATTATAAAGTTTATAACAACTCCCAAAAATATTACACCCTCAGGAATAAAAACTTGGTGGAGTAATGTGAAACGTAAGGTTGACATTGAAGATCAAGTATTTTCAAAAGAAAGACATAATTTCTTAGGAAATGATTTAGCAGCTGCACATTTCATTATTTATAGAAAAGGATCTGTTAAGTAAGAATCACTTTAATAACATATTATTGTTACTAACTATATTTACTATGTATTACAATTATTATAACTATTTTTATTCAAAACGATATAAAAATCATAAGATTGATTACATAAGATTTATAAACTTTCAGATTTTTTGGAACAGACAAATGGCTGAAACTTGACGAGGATGATGATGAATGTGAAGGTTTGCCTAAATTTAACGTACCAGACCTCTATGTCTCTCATATAGATTGTAGTAATATGAACATTTATTATGAAGGATTACAAAATTTAGTAAGGTTACAAAAACTTACCTGGTTATCATTTAGAAACTGCAAAACTATAGATGATTTTTGCCTTGACCGTATCAGCGGCGAATATGGTGATACCCTAAAATATTTAGATATTAGTGGTTGTTCTATTACAGAAAGAGGCCTAAATGCTTTATATAGACTAATGAATCTAGAAACTCTAATAGTTACAAATGTAAAAGAATCTATCTCTTTTGAATTAACTTGTGCAATGTTAGAAGAATTGTATCCCAAATTAATTATTAAATCTATGGATGAGTCTGTAAAACAAGTTGAATAAAATATTTGTTCTATTTTAAAGTGTATTTAAAGTTATTTGTTTATAATTTGCGAAGTAATATGTTTTTGCATTTGCAAGAAAATATCACCGGGCATTTAAACATTCCAAACCAAGTTCTGAAATAATAAAAGGGTATTATTGCCAATGAGTAAACAGGATACTTTGGTCCGTTTTATGAGCTGTGTTTAATATTAGATACTCATATACAATATATTTTTCTTTCTATTTACAATTTCATGCGAGTAGAAATATTACATTTTCAAAAGAATTACTTTAACGTCATTTCAGATGTAACTAAATATTTCAAATTAATAAACTCAATTTTGAAGATAAAAATAACAATAATAAACATGTTCATATTAAAACAATTGATTACATTATTTTCCAATATAAAACTAACAACATATTGCAAATAGTCAGGACATAAAAGTCGAAGACTTGTTTCTGATTTGAAAAAAAAAATTCTTAAGGCATATCCCATTGCACTACATTTCACAATAAAAATAAATATCAACATTGCTCAATTCAAAATCAATATAAAAATATTTAACATTTATAAAACTTTCATCAAATTTATTATAATTAAAATATAGTACACTGATTATTAATAACCAAATGTTTATGTATAAAAATTTTAGATTTAAAAAAAATGTTTGAGCAACGTTTAATACAGAAATGATAAAATTTGTTATTTTGTATTCCTATTAGGCTAAATTTAAACTATAACAGAATGATTAATATACTTATACATCATATTTTAGAAATAATTTTTATAATCTAAAAATGTTAAAATAGATAAATTATTTATTCACAGATATTATTTAAGGATGTAAAATTATACATAACAATGTATAATCATATGAAATATAAATTTTGCATTTTGATTCATTATTTTTTGCACCATAGAATGGTTATACATTGTTATAAAATATATACAAAAAATATTACATCCATATAGTCAAAATGTCTTCAGTAGATTGATTTTAAAAGATATTTCACAAATTAATTTATTAATATTGACACTTAGGTTAATTCACATATAATAATTATTTATTTTCCTATATATCTATATTAAATTTTTATCTAAATCATAAAATAACAACAGATGACTTAATTCATCTAGTATATTTTATACCTAATTTATCCATTTATTAAATGTATCACACAGTTATCATCTGATATATATATATATATATATATATATATACATATATATTTATATATATTTATTATAGAATTAAAACTTAACATAAATATTAGACTTGATTAAAAGTCTTTGATAAAACCAATTATTTTTTTTAATAATGACGATTTGCTTGTCTTACATATGTTAAATAATATTTAGTAATACAGCGTAAAAAATAAATTAAAAAAGAGATCAAACTAATAGAATTCATTATTCTTTAATATATACTATATTTAAAAACGTGCGCAACCAGCTAAAAGACAAATCTAATTATTTTTTTTAGAGTATTTAAGTAATTATAATATAATTAATCTATAGAAGATGTCTTCTAGTTGGAGCGAAATATAATATAGATCATCATTTGCATCAAACCCGCATTATCAACTAATATAATTTGTATTCATTTAAAGTATCCTATCGTTTCATTATTATTGATGTTCTAATGGAAAAATATCAAATATTATGGGACTTCAAACACGAAATAAGACTTTAATGCAGGATAATATTTACAATACTGGAGTTAATTGATCTTTAATAAAGAAGCAATCAAATCAATAAATATATCGTGAGTTTAAAATATATACAATTAAGGATTAAAAAAATATTGTATATATACATAAAATACATACATGAATATATATATATATATATATATATATATATATATATATAAACATGCATGTAGAACTTGGAAAGACCTCTTGTTGTATTTAAAATAAATAACTTGTCTATTATATATGGCAAAATTAATTTTCAATGTATAAGTTTTATCATCTTGCCTCAAATTTTAAATTTTTTCAAATATATTAACGTTTAACAAAATTCAGTGAACAATTTTCTTTTATAAACAAGATCATTTCTAATATGCAATATACATAGATGATCATTCAACTTGAAAATTATGATAATTAATCTACAAACAAACATTTAGTCTTCAAAGATTTGATAACTAAATGTTTTTAATAATTGATTTTATATACATCAAGATTGCATTCTCATGATTTATTTATTACGTACATATATCTATTTATATACAACATATTATGGCCTATGGAAATATGTGATACATATGTCTTATGTACTAAGTTTCAAAATATTGACTTTTTTGCTCCACTATTGATGTAGTTTATATTCACAAACTTTGTTTAATGTGACCACACACCCAATGCATTTTATTTTGTAGAAATTCAAGAGATTATTCATCTTAAATAATGATATATTTTGTCATATTTGCAGTACTTGCTGCAACTGTATTTCTACGAAGCATAATGCACCAGTAAACGCATGTATCATAAAGAGTTTAGGGCATTTTAAATATTCTATGAACTATGTCATCAAATTTGAATTATAGTTATCGTTCATTTGCATAAAAATAATTTGTAATGTTGATATGTGCAGCTTATGGCACCTAATTACTTTAAAATTCTTGCTTCTTATAATTGTATTGTCTGTTTAATTTAAGACAGTTCTCAAATATTTTCATGCCAGTATTAAAATTTAGAATTTAATCAGTTACCTCCACTTGTCGATGGCTCTTGAGGACTCAGCAGATTGGAAGGGCCTGAGCTCTGAGGTGTTGATCCATTATGGGCATTGATTTTTTGCCTTACTTCACGAATTTTCAATTGGAGACAGTTCTTCGTTTGAAACACATCTGAATGCGCCAACTATAAAACAAGTAATATTAGATGATATTTGAAAAAAATATTATTAATACAGTCCAAAATTAAAATTATAATCACGTGAAGTGCAAGTAAGAAGCTTTTTAGGTGATTAAATGATATTATTAGTATGTACCTGAAAGTTTGCAGTGGCTTGCGCTGATGGAAAGAACCCGCATTCTTGGAACAATTGCATTACCAGCTTCCTTTTCTGTTCTAATTGTTTTCTATGTCCTTTCTCAGATTCTTGAGAAGACGCTGGTCCTGCACTTCGTAGACCTCCAGTTGATTTTGGAGTATTCATATCCAAAGGAGAACTAGGTTCACCACCATCGGAAAGTTCTAAAAAAGGTAAAATTTTTAAATTTAGTCAATAATTAAAATTAAACAAATGAAGATATTACAATATTTATGTTGTTACCTCTAATATCAAAAGAGAAATTTGGTCCAAAAAATGTAGTTCCTTCAAGTTTAGGGGTTCTTGCTGACTTAGGGGTGCAAGGTGGTAAGGACTCATTTTCTTCTTCATTACCTGAAATTATAACAAAAATAGTACCACTAAGTTCTTCTTAACAATAAACAATATTCTATTAAAAAAAAAATATTGACTTGTTTTGTTATAAACTTGTTTAGATTAAAAAAATGAGTTACCTGGCATATTGGGATTTTTTCTTCTATAACTTTGTTGGAACACTCTCGGACTTGCTGCGACTGATGAAATTGCGCTTGGTGATTGACAATCTTTCGGTTTGAATTGAGGCAAAGTAGAAAACTTATGATCAAAGTTTACTTGCTCTAAAACCCTATTGAAAAGTATTATTACAGATTAATTATAATAGTCTACAGTAATTCACTTATGAATATTGCTGTAGACTTGTGTATCACAAACTACTAAGAAAATTAGTAACTTACTTTTCCATGCCATCCTCTTTGACTTTCTTGAAAGCAGAACTTTTCTTCATACATGGTGAAGCAATTTCCATATGGGAGTTATCAGTGTGTATTGATTGCTCGGTTACTGAAACTGGTGCTTCCATGTTGTTATGCATCACATTCACAGCTAAACATAACGTAACATATATTTCAGTAATATAAATATTATAAATATAATTTTGTGTATATATTATGCGTACCCATAGATTTTCGCCGTTGTGCAGGAGCCTTTCCAAGTTGCGCAGGTGTTGGTGCCAAAACAAAAGTATTTTGGTCCTCGTCAGATTTTTCATCTGGTGCATGTTCTGTTGTAAGACCATTAACAACACTTGTTGAGCAAGAAGGTGATTGCAAAGTGGATTGCATTTGATTTGGGGTATATTGATACTTTGCTCCTGTAATATATTTTATTTATAGAAAAAATATAAAGAAGTACAACTATAAATTGAACAAAGTTCTTACCTGCATTTGCTTGCGATATGGAAATCGTAATTGAACCATTATTTACGCTAGGCACTGTAGACGATGGTACTGAAAACGAATGATTCTGATCATTATGTTGAGATACAATTACTGATTGTGTACTGAGTTCACAAGGTTTTGAAATCAGTAAGGATTTTTGTTGAATCTGCACCGGCCTTCCATTTGCATCTAAAAACAACCATTAAATTAATAATAGCATTTCTAATCTTACAAATTCATTGCCTAATGTTTTGCACAAACCTGATATTGGAATCTGAAAAGAATTCTGAGACATGCAGACAAATTTGGTATAAGACTGATCAGACCAACAAATTGTATGAGTAGTAGGATTCACCAATGTAACAATAGGCAAGTTGCAAATCTGTTGTGGTTTACTATTCTGTGTACCCTGAACTGGTTTCGTATCCATAGGTTTAGGAGCTATTTGTACAACATTGTTCTGTAGTTTTTCCTCAACTTCGGATTTGACTATCTTAGGAGAAGCAGGCATTGTCGTTTTAAAAGCACCAGTGCCGCTAGGCTGAAAAGCGGACACGCCGGTTGGATTGAATGGTGTATGGGGATATATTAAAGGCGTTCCAGTGGCTTGAGTCGTTATTGATAACTTTTCACTAGATGGAATCCTGGAAATAAAGAAAATACATTAATACTTGTGGATTATTCGTCGACCATCAACAACTAGTTTTATTTTGAAACTAACTTTTTTCATACAGTAGCCCAAATGCTTAAAAATACTCACATTGCCTTAATTGCTTTCGGCCGACATGTAACTTCATTCGCTGTATCATTAGAAATTGGGCTGAATCTATTGTTCTGATTTGATCGTACTTCAGGTTCATTTTGTAACTCAGTATCAGAATCAGCTACTTTTTCAGAACACTTCAAATCCACTTCAGTTGTAGACGGTTCCTCACAAATGATCTGAAAGTGAATAAACACTTTGAATAGCAGCACTAATGATATAGACTTTCTAATATAAAAACCATTAGCATGTTGATATGCCAATAATAAAATGAACTTCATAAAAAAATATTTTCATTACCATTTGGTCATCATCTGATAAATCCTGATCGTGTTCTTGATAATCTTTATTACTACTTTCTTCAATTTTAACACTATTTGTATTGGCATATGGTAGATTGCTAACTTTCCCATTCATTTCATTCTCTTGTTTAACAATATTCTTCAATTGATTTGCATAATGGTCATTGGAAGGCTTATTTTCAGATGCATTTTCATCAGTAATGTTATAGTTGGAAATTGTCACAGGTATAACATCTTGAGACATATTACTATCATTAGGTGTGCGAGGGCTGTTGGGTAATTCGTTGTCAATTTCACCAGAAGCTGAAATTTGTGGATACATTAATATTATTTAACAGAATATAATTTTAAATAGTGCATCCACTTTTGCAGATGTGTAAAACTAAACTTAACTAAACTTTTACTTACTTGATCCAATTTTTCCACGGGCTATTGCATCCCGATTTGTGGCGGTAGCTGAAGAAGTCGAAGATTTCCGCCTGTCTTTTGAACACCATTTCCATTCAGGATGCGCTTTGAAATGAGCTTCTTTCACCTCTGATGCAAGTTCATGATATTTTTGCTTCTCTTCTGGACCAAGTGCATACCACCATTCGCCAAGAATTTTACTAACTGTTCTGTTATCCTGATTCGGATGAGTCTGATGAACCATAGCTCGATGTCGTTTGCTAAATATCATAAAAGCATTCATTGGCCTTCGTATTCGAGGATCCTTCTGTAATAATTAAATAAATAATAATATTGGTTAGTAATGACTATAGAAGGATAACATTATTATTTTTTAAGTTGAACTACAATTACCTTGTTCAATGGAGACTGAGGTTCTTTCAAGTTTACTTGCAATGCCGATAAAGATTGGGTTCTCCTCTTCATAGACGTATCAATAGGCGGTTCTTGTACATTTTGCTCTGGAGGGTCTTCAAAGACATCATCATCTTCATCACCAGTTTGCTGGATAATGCCTGAAAATATTAATATATTTATTAATGAATACATTTGTGAGCATTAATATAAATTGTAAATAATTACCAGGACAATCCCCGTCCGCCATATCCACATCGTCCGTCTGCGGAATGTTTTCCCTGGTGGCTGTAGTCGTCGTCAAGGATGCTGTTGGAGGTGTGAGAACTGGTGGCGCAGAAGGCGGTGGCGACAATGCCGACGCTGGTGGCGATACAGCTACTGGTGCAGCCGCCAATAAAGGCACTAGAGTGTGCCATGGGAACACGGTCACCGGAGTGGAGTTATTAACTGTGAAAAAAAGCAAGTTGGTGTAGAAACAAACTCTTCATATACTTGTATTTATATCTACCATTTTCCAAATCTTACCTATTGTTCCGCTTTTGTCCGATACCGAAATTTTGGTTCCCGTTGGAAGAAATGGTACCAGGTTTGTAGGTCCAACAATCACTGGTTGGAGCAAAGAGTTTGGTTTCTGCAAAAAGCATGGTTAGAGTAAACTCCAAAATATATAACAACTAACAAATTAATAATAAATATTTTTAACTTGGCACCTGTGATGAAATATGTTCTTTGGGTTTATCATAATGCAAAACTGTAGTATGAGAGTCCGTTTCCTTGATGTGATCTTCAATAGTTTCCCGTTTTATTAGCTTTACAACTTTTTTATCTGGAGGTATGGCATTGCTACTTTCATGTTGTGGAATGATATAAAACGTTGAACCGTGCATCACTTGGCAAGTTTCAGAAGTTTTAGGTAAAGACATGACAACCTAATAAAATACAAAGGGATACAAGTAAAATAAACATCTATATATTGCAAATAAGCTCTATATACAATTTTTGTTCTTACTTGTTTCGTTATCAATTTCGATTCATTCATAATATGCATGGGCCTGCTGTGTGCAATTTCTAAATTCCTGATATCATTAATTTTATGCCTCTCTGCATAATCCATCATCTGATTACCATGTTGTTCTTGGGTATTGCTAATCATTATCCTATCATTTAAGTTATTAATATTTGAAGATTGAATTGGCATTCTATACTGTTCATTATTCGCCAAATTCGTAGTAGTCCCAATAACCATAACTGTTTCCCTTTCATTTTTTTCCTGTCCATTTTCCGTAATATGATGACTGATAATTTTGTTACTATTACAAATATTGTTAGCACTATTAGAATTTCCGTTGTAATTACTATGAGTTAAGGAAGATGTGGTGCTAATATTGGTTAGTGCCTGCTGAAGAATGATGCTCTGTTGTTGATGATGGTCTTTAGTAGTCGTTACAATCGTAGGAGGATTGTAAACTGCTGACGATGCTTGCAAGGAATTCTGATGTCCAACTGATGATCGATTTTCTATCTGCAATGGAGGAATTATAATACACATTAATATAATCATTTCATTTGATTCGAAAGTATTATATTTTTAGATAAATACCACATGTGCTATGCAAGAAAGCCAAATGTAATCTAACCTGAATATTTCAAGTAGATTACGCTGGTCGCAGAAAATTTTGAAAGCACCAAAAATTACATCTGAGCGCATTAAAAATCAAAAATAAAAATAAATGAAGTCGTAAAATCATTAAGCAGTGTATAGTTTCTAAATGCAATAAATTTAATTAAAATGACAACCCGTTCTGCAATAATGTTAAATGGTGAAACGTAGGGTTGTTTTTTATATATGGCTTCATGTATAAAATATCACCTTTTCTCACATTTATATATATATATATATATATATATATATATATATATATTGAATTTTTATATATTTTTGTATGTGAATTTAATAATGTGAATGAATATGCAGTGTGTTTATAAAAAGCAAATATCTAGTGTATATACATTTGTCACAAAGTAAATACATTATTTTACTATGTTTTTCTTAAAACGAATTTAATGTTTTCTTGATAAGCAATTTTTGAAAAAACACAATTCACATTTTTCAAAAAACATTTGTAAAAAAATGCATTATAACTCAGATAATAAAATTGCTTAAAAGAATTTAATAATGCATTATATCTCTTTATAGTAAATTTGGAGACTTATGAATATTTCAAGTTTTTATGTTTTACTAAAAATAGAATTTCATATTTTCTTCATAAACAATCAATACACATATTTAAAAAAAAACATTCGTAAAATAATGCATTATGCATTATAGCTCCGATGTTAATATTTCTTAAAATTTGTAGATTTATGATGATATCAGATATAAACTTATGTTGAAAACCACTAAATTGAAAGCGATTGATATAGAAAATTATTATAAAATCAAAAATAATAATACTCCTTCATACTGAAATTTCTAGCATAATAGTTAAAATTCTTTTGTACTCTTATCTCGAATTCAAGTAATGAATTTCAACTTAAATTTCAATTCTAATGTAATGTTATTAATCTAAGTATGGATATTTACACTGCAATATATGATAATACTATTTAACAACGACTATTAAAAAACATTTATTTCTATACTATTCAAGAAACGTGTATCTTGATGTTCTCAATTGTAATTGATTGTAAATCAATTCAATCCTACAAAACAGAGATGTTAGTGCCTTATTAAAAATACACATATCGATATTAATTATACTTAAAGCATTAATTCAAATTTGGAGGTATAAACCACTTTGAAAAAAAATTTATCCAAGTAAGATCTTTAGGAGATCTGGTCGATTAATTATATATAATTCATTTTACAATGCTAATCAATGTTTTATACCTCATATATGCTAATTTACGATGATCACATGATGGTTCAAAATTAAACATTTGGTTTAAACATAGATTTAGTTATAGCATAGCTCACATGGTATAAATCTAGTAACTACACCACATCAAACTTGCACCTGTGAATAATGTTTAGTGTTCACATTCATCAAAATTAGATTTTGTATGTAAATTGTTTATGAAAAATGTTGCTTGTAGTGACAATATTAAGCTCTTGCACCCAATCCGTAGTAGCATGCAAAATTAAAAATAAGCAACATTCAATTGAAATTCGTGATTGGATAAAAATTGGTAATTAAAAGCAGACGATTGATTATTAACAAAGCTGCTGATTAATTAAACTAAACTAACGTTATTTATTAACGCCAAATAGTGAACACAAAGTTTAAAAGTGGAGAAATAGAAATTTTCTGTATAGTTTCAAACCAAACGAATAACACAACTTTTTTGTTAGTCATAACTTCTTGACCTAATACGATCGTTCGATTTTTTGCAACGCAATTACTAATTTTTTAGATTATTAAATTAAAATTTATTACTAACAGATTCACTCTTCTGGAATTTTGCACATAGTGATAAAGTAGATAATCAAAAGGAATACCTTAAAATATTATAGGCCTATGAAAAGTGATTTAATTATAAAAATTAATTAAAGTTTTGAAAAATAGGAAAAAATGTGAGACATATGACAAGAGTATATAATTATCAAGTCGACGTAAAGAATTGTTGTAAAAGAGTTTACTATAAAATAATATAGCAGTTCCGAGGAATTACTAAAAAATATAATAAGTACTTAGCAAGAGTACTATTTAACTAACGATGAAATCTAACAGCACTTTCCTTAATATATAAAATCTTAATATCTTAAAATCTGGTTGCGTAATATATCATGTTTAATAATCAAAAAAATAAAATGAAACACATTCAGTTTTTCTGAAAATGTCTCACCAGGACTACTGATCAAAACATCCAAATAAACCAGAGTTTTGTTATATTGTCATACATAAATAAAATAGTGACAACTATAACAAAATGACTAAAAATAATGCTAAATATAAGAAATCTATATGAAACTATAATTTATAATACAATTTGTTAGATCAAACAAAGGTTCTATTACCTTAACACACATAAAACTATTTGTTAAATATCGAAACACAGAAAACAGAAAAACATCAGCAACAATTTAAAAGCCAATCTAAATTATCCTTTACAATCGTCTGTTAAATGCGTGTTGTGTTGTGTTGTGGTTATAAGACAAAATGAAGCAGCAGTAATCGGTTAAGTGCAAAGTTTGATATGGGTCGCTAATAATGTATTTTTGTTTTGCTTTTTGGTTTAAAATGATGATGTCACCCTTACGTGATACGATACGTGTGGTTGGTGCAGTACTTGCCCAGACATTGATCTAGGGTTTGGAGAGATCCTGATGACGCTTGTGGCCGATGGTCCTGGTTGACCCGTTGCGTTTTGGGGAATGCACGGACGCACCAGCTCGGGCCTGAAAAGGACAATTGGAAAATAAATTTAATGGTTTCAGAATAAATATTTAAGAAAAGCTTTATCTTATATATTATTTGAACTTGAGGGTCCTATAAGCTGTTGTGATATTTTGACTTAACTAAGTTGATTCTGTAGATGGCAACCCAAACAGTTGTCCTAACACTTTGTATCAAATTTTATTATTACAATTTCTGTAATAGTGATGATACTTGGAAACATATTGCTAACCATATTTCCAAGTAAAAAGCTGTGTCACTAATGATTGAGATCAGGCCGCCTAAGGCGGGTATATAACTTGGAACATCTGATGGAAATTCCATAGCTCAAACTTTTAATCCGCGAGAAAGCCGCTTTTAAAACATGTTAAAATTGTAAAAAAAACAAGGAACTGCGAAAGGTAATAGATAAAAAAATACATTGTTTTTCTTATCATCCAAATTTCCAAAATATACACATTACTGCCGAGTAAAATCCTTCTATTGCCAATAAATTTAAAGGTCATTGTAAATATTTGAATACTTTTGACAAAGAAAATGCTTCTAATGCTTTCTAATTGCCATTTGTACCAGAAATGTTTAGCAACTGACATTCAAAATTTATTTATTTCAAAATTATAACGGCTGAAGAAGGACTGACTTGGCTGTTGTGACTTTAAATCTACAATTTATGATATCAAAAACCTCCAATGAAATAATTACAACAATTTGATGAAATATTCGATGAAATTTATTGTTATATCTACTATTTGAATAAAAGATTTTGTTATTGCCAGAAGTTCGAGTATTTTATTGTTCTTAATTTAATATTAGTAAAACCGAAAACAAAACCGTATGATTTTCTTGATATTAAAAAGTATCAAAAGTGATATAATAAATTATTTGATAAATTCAAAGATATAAAGATCATAAAGTGAACTACCGTGACAAAAAAGTTTATACAATCACGCAATCATAAACTGAATAAAATCAGTGAAATCAATTACAAGAATATAATTATCAACCTACAAGTATTAATTATATATAATATCTTAATTGGTTCTTCATTCACGATAATTGTTGTAGTAATAATGAGCAAGTATTAGCTCTTCGCACGTGCATTTGCTAAAAGTGAGATTTCCATATTAAAAGAAACATATTTTATAAAAGAAATATATTTCTCTTAAGGGGTTCTCTTAATAAAGTTTATTATTCCTTTGAGGGATTAATTAGTACTATATATACAACCACACTAAACATGTACCATAAATTTAAAAATATGAGTACATAAAAGTACAATGGTTCAATAATATGCGTTATGGATCAATCATTTTACCTGATGAGATGTTGCTGGTAAACAACCCCCGCCGATTGCTGCATTTGGTTCCCAGTTTGGTGCGGTGCATTGTTGTTCCATTTCAACGTTGGTGCTGTAGAAGAAGCCACGCCGGTGCCAGCGGGACTGGTGATAGGCACAAAGAGGTTCTGCCTTGGTCCCACCATCATCGGCGAATTTGCGGCACCAGGACCTGGCGGCGATGCACCCTGCACGCCCATCGTGGGAGATGAGAACGCAGGCGTTGCGGAACGCGAACTTCCCAGTGAAACTGAAAGGTAGAAATTGATTAATTGATAATTGTGAGATAATGGTCAATATACGCTAATTTATTATAAGGCTTGTTATGGAATCATATAATCATATAGTGGAATTTGGAATATGAATCAGGTTATAGAAAATCATATGTTTAGTATTTATTTAATATCTAGGAGCAAGATATTTTTAAAAGTAATTGCATTCTATAAAAAATAATGCTCAGATTATAATCTGAGCATAATAATCTGATAATTATCATAAATGCTAAAAAAGAAACAGAAAGAAAGAACAATAAACCTGTTTTCATAGTTTTAGCATCAATGGTAGAAATAAATAGCATCTATGATAGAGTCAATTACCAAGCCACATAGATTATTTTCTTTCAAGAACAATTACATTAACGTTTTGTTTATAAAAATGCAATCTGAGTCATTGCAATATCAACATTGTTAAGTGATAAATGCATTCTAAATAAGTTTACTTAATAATTTTATTATCGATTCAGATCGAATGATCCAAAATAATTTCAATTGATAATTATTATAATTTTTATTCAGTGAAAATTTACTTAACGTTTGTTCCATTTTATATTAGGTATTATCAATTAATTTATTTTTTTACGTAACGGATTTGGCTCAAAAATAAATACTTATCGACCACTAATTTTGTCAATTAACTTAATTTTCAAAATATAAAATCAAAATTAAATGTATATAATATATAAATACTAGATATAATATAGATATTTTGCAGTATTTTAATAACAAAATTATAATTTTAATAATTAATGCTTTGCATTAATTTTGTCAGAGAATAAAATTTTCAAAATATCACAATATAAATAAAAAATTAAAATATATGATTATTGTTAATAATTTTACGCAATTTTAAATTATTTACTTTTTTTCAAAAATATTCGACTATTTTGATGTTTTGTACTATTGTACACAAATTTACGATAAATTTGAGTGAATAAAAATTCGAAGAATTAAGATTAATTAAGATTTTCGAAAACATCTAACATTTCGTAAAATATCTAAAACATTTTTAATAAAATAAGATGGCTTATTCAAATACAAAAAGAATATTGAACACTGAACAAAATATTAGTGGTGATACAAACTTATACTATTATTACATACATTTTTGCGTTGTATGAATGAAGTTTGCCTATTGTAATAATTAAATAACTTAACAAAATATTAAGTAATATACTTAAAAAAATAACACTCACTCAAACATTGCAAATACAAATCAGCTCCTATCAGGAAATCGTAAGGATAATTCATTATTTTAATTGAATATCACTGTGTAACTTAACAAACTTATTAAATTTATTCCTAAAAATTCTCTTTCACATTTTCACTGTCCACTGTATTACAATTAAATAACATATTTCTGAATAACACAACACACATTTATAGGTTATTTTATCACCACCAACTATTCTAATTCCGAAATATTTCGTTTCCAACAATATTATTCAAGTACGGCATTACTACCAAGACCACTATCGCAAAACAATTCATAATAAGATTGATTTTAGTTTAATATACAATTTAATATGAAGTTTATTCAGAAATTCACGATAGGCGAGAGAAACCAAAACACACAAATATTTCAACAATTCAAATCTTCCCAAATAAATACACGTGAACTGGCTAGAACATCTGAGACAGGTAATTCTTAGAAACCGGTCAGGGTAGTACTTTGTAAGGACTCTTGAAAAGAATTTAGAAAAAGGATAAAGGATCATAATAATCGGTTTATGATTCACACATGGGATTTAAATTATTGAATAATCAATAATTCTTATATATGATATTTTGTTATATTAAGTAATATAAATATGGGGAAAAATGGTGCAAACATTAGAAATTTTGATTAATATAAATATAAGGTAAAAAAACAAAATAAAATTTATATTAAATTCCATTTAAAAAATGAAATTCAATATTTAAATTTAAAATTAAACGCACGCAATAATACCTATTAATTAAAGTCAATATTTATATTAAAATAAAATATTTTAACCTTGTTTTTTTAAATTTAAAAATCTTTCGGATACGATTTTATATTACTTTTTTAAATTAACCGCCCATAATTACAACTATTAACCTGTCTTAACAGATTTTCTAATTTTATTATTATTATACGAAAAAATGTTATTCGAGCCTTTTACATAAATAATATATCATATACAAAAATATATTGATCATATGTTTTATATGTTCTTCCTGATGTGGTATTTATATTTATTTAAAAAATTTAAAAAAGTTTAAATATTTTTTTCCACTAATAGCATTTTTTATAATTACTTTAATTGTTGTATGTTGATACAACCAAGTGACAAAACGTATAAATGAAAAATTGTCAATATTATTTTTCTTAATTTAATTAATTTAATTGGTTGCTATATATAAACTAAATATAACTGTATGCAATTTAAACAATGCAATAAGTTTTTATAAATATCTTTCAATTGAAAGCTATATCCGATAACGTTTGTATGAAGATATGTTTATTCAAAATGAATCAGTATAAAACACTATTTTGATTTTTTTTTTATTCAACTTTAGAATATTGAATAAATTTTATAACAATTACATTAGAAAAATACATTAAGTTTAGAACAATTCTTTAAATTTTAGAATAGAACGTTGCCATAATTTGTGTAATTCATAAAAACTGAACTGATTGATGTTAAGTAATTAAAATTGATGAACAACTATATATACTAAATAAAGATTAGTGCATTTCTTGTTAATATTTCAGTCAAGCCAAGACAAATATTAGCTGATTTTATTAATATTAATTAAGTATTGATGATCAACTATAACAAAGATATTATTGTTCATGTAGTATACACGATGAACTTTATTTCTAAAAAGCATTTCTCGTCAATTATTGAAATTAAAGGATCAGTCAAGCCAAGAGAAATATTTCCCCTAACAGTATACATATTTTCAGCAAACTGATATATTTACTAATATATCTATTAGATTATATTTTTAGGGTTGTACACCCCTGTTAACTTATGGACGGCAAAAAGCCACCTGTCGGTGCCTTTTGTAAGGTAAGTGGATAGAAGCCTTGTCTAGTGTGTAGACAATGGCCAACACAATGGCTATGACGGCTAACATGAATTCTATTATATTCTCCGTACTCTTAAATTGATTTAGTGCCAAAATGGATTTTTGGGATATAACTTAGAATCAACAATTATGCGACTTTGGCATAGTAAAAGAATAGAAAAGTTGGGAAACACTTATAACTGGTTCAATTAGCGAAAGTATTTGGGCATCTCCTTGTATTTCAACAGACTGGATAAATTAGTATATTAAAATCTTGTTCCAACAGTAATATATTCGTTGCTCATCTATACGCCATAAAAAATAATTTTCTTAATCTACCTAAAATAATATATAATCTGAAGACGCCATTGAATCGCAAATTGGTGATCTTAATCTCAAGTAATCTTAGACTCTCATAAAAAATTGATTTATAGATAAGATAGTTAATTTTTCTTTTTAAACAGCAGTCAGAATTTTATTCTTTATTATATTTAGGAGTTTTATAAGCTGTTGTGATGATACTTCGTAATTACGTGGGTTATTAGAAGGTTGGCATATCTAATTTTTTTCTGATAAATAGTTCTCGACTTACCCATAATGTTGGCTGCTTCAGTCTCATCCTGGTCAAAATGTCCAGTGAGTCTGCCACCATAATTTGGAGAAGTTTCGGAATCTCTTGATGTATCACCATCACCATCCATCATCGTTTTGCTACCGGATCTAATATAAAAATATAAAAAACAGGAATATATTGACCAATAGTTAATAACTAAAACTTATTAATAATTTGTGGTTGTAATGCAAACAAAATATCAAAAACTCGAATAAATAAATAAAACACATGGTAATCGTCCATGGGGTAATAAGACACATATAAAATAAATAATATCCTTATAACAAAATTTGAAATTATGGTTATTTCCTATATAAACCATGTATCACCAAGGGGGAGGTAGGGTCCAAAAAACCTTAAAAATGGATCACGTGATTAATGGACGCTCCCTAAAATTTATACATAGTTCCATGCAATTTTAAAGACACAAAGCGTCAATCAGGCATATGTTCAATGCATATTTTATTTTTGAAAAAAAGTCATGAATTATCCACCCACATCAAAGATTCATTTCATTGTTTCAGCCAACTTCAAAGACAAAATGATTCATACGTCTATTTTTTACCTGGAGAATGTCCTGGGTCCATTATGCGAGCTGGTGCTACTGCTGCCTCCTCCTCCGCCGCTCTTCTTGTTGAGATGCCTGGAGCAGAAACCCCGTCTTTGGGACTCTTTGTTGCAGTCTTTGTTCGAGCAGAGGCGCCTCCATTGTTTGCCATTGAACTTCTTGCGTATACCGCTTGGATTCGATACAACATCACCCTTTTTGTACTTGTGAGGTGTGGCCGCTTGTGACCTGGGAACAGAATTATTCATGAATAATGATAATGGTAATTGACTGTAATAATTTAAAAATCAAGTTAGGCATGACCGAAGATAGTAATTTCCAATTTGATGGTTAGTGTTGTCAATACTAAATTTGACTGGTTCAATCATACCAGAACTTTGAAGAATTATAGACAAATTTTAATTTGTTTTTGAGATTTTTGAAAGATTTCTAATATTCATATTTCTATATGTTCGATTTTCATATGAACTGCGCCAACTGTATTGGAATGAATCATCAAAACTCCCGATTGTAAGCAGGATATTCTCTGCAAGAATTGATGCTCAAACTCTGATACGAAGTGTAAATATAAATAAATAAATAAATAAATTTGTGTAAGTGGTATTTCGCCTAAGGGCAAGTTGCACAAGCTTCTCGATAAGTGTTAATAATCGACTTAATCAATAATAATTGATATTCAGCAACCATTGCATTCTTCTGCACTATAATGTTTTTTTTTGTAATTAAACCACTAAATGTGGATATGTAGATGTTAATTTACACTGTGTATTCTGTCACTGACCAAAGTTTAATTAAAATCGTCAAAAAAAATTCAACAAGGAATAACGCAGAAACAACCTGGTCAATATTTACCAAAAACTACTCATCACGATTCCCAAATGATATCTTCTGAATTCGGAAGTTTTTCAATGTCCAAATTCGGCTCAGGATTTTTGATGAACTTTGCTGAATATTTTTGCACTTATCTGCTAATTATAAAGCAACTGCTATAATTACATAATACGAATTCTTATTGAGTTTCGCCAAATGGCTTTTAAATTTTTATAATCGGTGTAGACGTTTTTGGGAAAATGTGGACCAAAAGTCAAATATTAGCTTGACATAACTCATGAATCAGAGAGACGAATTTATTTTCAAAGTTTTGTTTGAAGGAACAATTTTGGCGTCAAAAGGCCTCGAATGACTTGAAACGTATAGAAAACATAAAATTAGCAAATCGGATATTCTGACAAAGACAAACTTCTCCTTCGGAAATAAATAAATTATGAATATAAAATAAAATATTATATAAATTAAGTTGAGTTTCTGATACAATAAGCATACAGGCTAAGCATATTTCACTTACATATAGATATGATTTCCTGATTAAATTTATGTGTGAAGTGAATTTATAATCAATTCAAATAATATAGTTAAATTAATGTTTATATTTATTGAAAATTAAGAAAATCAAAAAATAAAGTGAAAATATCTTTGAAGTTTATGCTTCAAAAATTTCATTATATTCCAAATCATTTCTCTATTTCAATCAAAAACAAAATTAGTCCACAGAAGCTTTTGTTTTTGCTTGATATTTGTGAGATATCACAAATCCTTCAGTATTCTAGTGATTTCAATTGTAATCAACATTATGTTTGGGATTCTTGTTGAAATATACTTTTTTCAACATCAAACAGATTATAGAAAGTTATATTCCCAATATGTTATTTTGCACGTCAGGACAACCCAGTGGATAAGCAATCTTCTTCTTTTGCTGTATATATTATATGTAGTAATAATATATACAGCATAATAATCTAACAGTGCTAATTTATGTTTGATGCAGCAATGCCTGCGAAAAGCGATTTTCACTTAAAATTATATGAGAACAGGAAATTTGATAACATAATGCTTGGTCAAAGTTGATATCGAACCCGAGACTAGTTTGTGCTAGCTCAAGTCGTTACTGGTTAAGCCTCGGCTGACTCATTGAATTCTATTAATGTTCAAAAAAAATATTAAGCTTATATGCAGTATGAGTAATCTTAAGTTGAATCAAGAGTCCACTTGCGATACGTTATGGATCCGTTTCCGCTTAGTTATTGCAACAGCATAAAACATATTGCACGTAATAACTATTTTCATTTCATTTTCTGAACTAGTCATATCAATGAAATCTAAGAAAGCGGTGTATTGTAAATTATAATTTTTGAAATACTGTTGCATCAAACTGGTCCGTATATAACATTTAGCCATTAATTGTCGTCGCTGGCGCTACTTAAACGGCGCACGCGATAACTTGATAAAATCATTATGGCCATTCGGAATCACATATGCGTCGCATAATACCATAAAATATGTGTTTTTTAATTGCTTCGTGAGTGTACGTTGGCTTCGCGAATGCTATAAATCCATAAAAATAACACTGCAGATGTGCAGAATGGCGATAAGTCCTGAATGAATGCGTCCCGCAGCGCTAATAATAGCAACAATCGAAAATAGATCTGGTGTGAGTGACATGCACCGTTGGAGTATCTTGTTTTGATTGTTTGCCCGTCATCGTCCGGCTCGAGAAGGATTTTCAGCGAAGGAGCTTTCCTTTCATCACCACGTGAAAGGATTTATCCAGGTCGAAAGATTTCCTCGGACAGTTATGGGCGTACATAATCGTATCATAATAAGATTACGAATAAAGTGTTTTGTGTAGGAATATTCATATCAAACCCTTTTGTGCGATTACGTCTTAACCTTTTCACAACAATTTTTAAAGGGCATATACAAATCTGCGGCAGTTATTATAATACCAACTATATAAAATCGTAGATAACAACTATTTGAAGAAGACATCATTTTTAGGATTTCCCTCCCACATGAATGCGAATAAAATGTCTCCCACAGGCCACAAGTAATGCTATAACTAATTCAACTGTTGGAATAAATAACATATTATATTGAAAGGTTGAATTATGATATAATAATATATCAATTTATATCAGGTCTTTTCAGTGAGTGCAGATTTTTGTTAGAACTAAATAACTTTATTCTGATCGTCCCATTGATCAGTGACTATTCATAATTTTTTAAGTACCATCATTTTCCCACTTTCATGGTTTTTATTACCAAAAATCTGAATAGGGCACAATTTGATACCATCATCATTATTGATTTTTTTTAAATGCAAGGGGTTTTGCAAAGATTTAAACTAAAAGTAATTATACGGATGTGGAAAAACATTCCAACTAAGTTCTAATAAATTTTGCGAATGGGCAAAGATATGTGATGTCAATAATGGAATAAATCACTGTTTTGATAAGGATTTTTGGTGAAAACGTGGACAAAGCTTTTAACTGCTAATTATAAAGAAATGGCCCGGCCAGTCGTTGCAAAAAATTGATTAAGTCCTTATCGAGTACCATCGAGCATTTTTATAATTATTGAAATCAGTGCTTAAATTTTTGGAGAAAATGTCGGCGAAAAGTCACATTTTGCCCAAACATGCACACATAGCGTTTTTTCCACTTTTGGTGCCAAAAGATTGAAACATCAAAAAACATAAAATAAGCAAATCAAAATTTTTGGCGCTACTTCTAGTTCAGGAAGTTATAGAACCATTCTCTAATAATTGTTATCGTCAATAGAACAAAATGTTACACAATATATACCTAAAAAATGTCGCTCATTAATATTTGGTTCAAAACTATCTGTACCACTTGCAAGATATGATTTGTTTAACAAAATTGTATACAAGGATTTGTTCAGATAGAATTTTGGAACATTACATAATATGTCATATGTAACATATTATGTTAGTGGACATGTTAGTCATTTGTCTCAAGAAATATAGAATATTTTAATAGTCACCAAGTTGAATAATTATTTTTCTGTTTCCAAAAGTATAGCTTCATGATATAGGTATTTAAAGAAACACCCCTATACTAATCTATCCCAGGACCAGAAAACTATTATTATCCTTGATCCTTGATCACATAGATACATCTCTTGTCATTACTAGTAAAAAGTGGCAAGGGTAGATGAAAACAACATGCAAATCAGATGAAAGATTCCTTTATGATTGCCTGAATTTCTCAGCCTGTAATACAGTAACACTATGCTTTGATTCCATCACGAGGAAATGGCATTAATACGTCTTCTGTCCATCGCAAACCGATCATTGTGCGGTGTGCGTTGTATACAATATACAATAGATGTCATAGAATAAACAATGGTCATGTATGTAGTGTGTGTGTGTATGTCATGTGCATTAGAGGCATGTATTGTAGTGTAATATCGAGCCTGTATTTGTATGTAATTGATATATTCTGACCTGGGAGTGGCCGGCTGAGATCTGGGTGTGATACTGCGTTCGATCAAACTGGACGTGCTGCCTCTACTCTGCAAACTGCTGCGTTTACTACTGCCGGACAACTTTCCACCATCTGGAGGAAAAGAAAATCGTATTAGTAAACCAAAATTTTGACAATCGATAGAAGAAGTTTGAGCAAATAATGTATAATACTTAAAGGAAATTATTTATTTGCACAAACATCTCATAACTATCAGAACCAAACAGTCCTATGGGATAATGTTCTCATAGAACTGACAGGACTGATGGCAATTCTAATAGGTATAGCCCCTAAAAGGCTATTTTTACTTGAAAACATATTTTAGATCAATGGTTAACCTAGATTTGAAACCAAAATCAGTAATTTAGAACTTCAAACTTGAAACGGATATGATATATAGGAATTCAATTTCGTACCTGTAATTGTTATTGTACATTTTATTTAATGTTTTATATTTTAACAATATAAAGACGTTTATTTGGCATTAAAACTAGTACAAATGAATAATTATATATTATATTTTTAGCATTCAATTGAACTAAAACACTCAATTATTTAGAAACTTAAATGCGAGATTGATAAGGTTTCAATCTCATCACTAATACCCAATTGGTTTAAAATCATATTTTTTTTTGTAATTAAATTATACAAAACTTTAGTGAGAATTTAGATGAAATAATATTCTATTATAAATGAAATCTGTAGTGAATCGAATGTGTCGTATAAATTATTTTAAATGGGACATCACTAACAATTACATCAGATACTATGATAAAAATTAAACGCATAATAGAACATGGGTAATTATATCTTGTGCTTCATTAACTCCATCGATTTTAATGCTTTCTAATGAAGCGCGCAGAGATAATGTCCATGTATGTAATAATTGTTCATTTACAAAGATGACCTAATGTATAAGTCTCTCTCGATATAGAACAATAAACTGCGGCCTACACATTTATCATCAAATAAAGCAATTAAATTCAAGTATTGTGATACACTGTTTCAAGAACAATAACGAACGATTTTCATTAAAAGATTTGTCTGGCCTGTTAATTAATTTAACAAACTGAACAGATTTCGTTTATTTGATGCCCGCGATAACGTGAAAACGCTTTCAATGTTAGTATAAAGTTCTAATGGAAACGAACTTTTTATTTCGCCGCAGTTCTAAATCAAGCAACTGCTAAAAAGTTTATTTAAATTGCAAAACATTCTGCAGCTAGATGTCCGTAAAGGACTTTGGAAAAATGTTCTTGAAAGGTCATTTATTATTCAATGTTTCTATGCGCAAAATACTACGACCAGATAGTACATATTCAGTCCAAATTGAATACTACATTATTCACACTATATAATATCAACTTTTCGTAGAGTAAGTTATAATAATTGCAGAAAAATAAAAAAAAAAATTTAATGATACGGGGCAAAGAGTGCCAAAAAAATTTTCTTCTATTGATGAAATGAAGAGTTCCAATGAAAAAAATGCTATTTGGCGGTCAAAAATGATCATCAGAGATATGAACATCAAATTTTCTAAATTATCAAAAAATATTAAAGCTTTAAAAAAATTTTAATTACGATACGGGATGTTTCAGCAATTTGCTTTAAGGCACGATACCATGCACCACTAGTTTTATTATTCTCGTTTCAGCTGAATTGCGATTTAGACGTATAAAAGTTGGAAAAAATACATACTGTAAGTTTTTATATTAATATGCATAAAATTCTAAATTAGATACCACAACTTTTCTGATTCTACGAAACAAAATTAATTTATCAGATAAACATTGTGTATGCAATTACTCACGTTTCTACTTTCTTGATAACATCTCTAAAATTGTGCACGATAACCTTTTCTTCAAAGAATCGTGAACATTACAAAGTTTTTCGTGTTTGATATTGATATATCATACAATCATATATCACACTTGTCAGATATAGTAAAAATTTACTAGATATCGGACTTCGGAATTCTTAAATAGCTTAAGAACTTACAGAACTATGCCTTGAGCATGATAAAATCAATTATTCAATAACATGACTATCCTTATAAAATATTCTTAATTTAAATACAAATTACAAAAAACACCACAAAACATATTTTTCCTAGACAAGGTAACATCATGATAAAAGAAGTATAAATCTTGTCCAGACTAATGTCCAGACGTTATTATAATTTTCTAGATCCAGAACAATTAGATGGGATTAACTGTGAAAATAAATTTAATATTCTAAATAAAAAATTTCTATTCAAATTGTTTCAATTAAATTCTGTGGCTTTCAACTAAATACCAATCAGATGTAAACCCTTTCATGTAATATTGACGATCGATTAGAAGTTTGATCTAAAATGAATCCATTTCGGGTCACCGCATTCTATCTTCTAATGTATAGTATGTACTTGAGATCGACTTTGACGTTTATGTAATTGATAGACCCATAATTGGGTTCAAGTTTGCCCGGGAATATCTAATCACTATATTAGTGGTCGGTGTATATCTTGATTAATTCAGAGCTTTAACTGATGAATTTCCGTCGCCTTGTGACAAGAAACCATTGGAAATACAAATATAGATATAATATAACGCATATACAACCCTTCATGTGGAACAATGGTAGGTTTGATTATAACTTTAGATTAATTAGAAAGATGATGAAAAGTCATTGATTTAGTCGGAATTATTCAGTTCCATAAAAAAATTTCTTTGATTTTCTAACAAAAACCCACTTACTTAGTTGCCAACCTAATAGTAACAGTTCCAGAATCGCGGAGTTTCGATCAACAAGTCTGAAGGAATGCAATTCACTTTTTTAGCATTATGATTCATAATTCTATATCGCATTTCATATTCTACTCATGCTAATAGTAACACATTTGCACATGAGGCCGCTAATACAATGCAGATATTTCTAAATTGCTTATTAGATAACGCACATGGGACTAATGTGCGCGCCAGCAATGCAAGGATTGTTCATTGAACATTCCATTAGAAGACGAAGCAGCTTTTGTCCATGATTCTTGACAAATATGCATATACAGGGTGCCCCAAAACTGTTTTTTATAAATATAACAACCCTAAACAATTTAAAACCATGCTCTGTGAACACAGTTCTTTCATAAAGCATACTTTTAATCCTACCTTTGAAAAAAAATCTGCTGAAATATTAATTCTAATATTGACCGTTTAGATTATACAATCACGTGCTTTTCTAACCTAAAATTGTATAATTATATACAGTATTCATTATTTAATGCTTATTATATTATTGCACTTACTTTTGGATAATTTTCAACTAAACGACGAGACACATTTTATTTTCTAATCTGAACAAATTTGAATACAATTATATTTTATTTCGACGCATTGGCTATTAAGTAATTAAAGATATAATATATATGTGTGTTTGTGTGTTATGTATATATTTAATTCATGCATTGGTATGTTCTAAAAGTGCAGAATCGTATGTAAACTTCTTAATCTCGAAACTTTATAGTCGTTCTTTAATGATGCAATAAAATTTTGTCGTAATGCTCACTGGTGTGTATAAACGGGGGCCCCCTTACCAAGTCAAGTGGTTTCGAACTTACTTTACTAGTACTACACACTACACGTATATATATTATATATATATATCGCTTAAGTTTTGCTACTGCATTAAATTGTAGTTTGTATCAGATCTTAAAATAGAAACACACAAAGCAAATGTTGTCGATAACATCTCTATGTGTGTCTGCAATAAAATTCAATTTGTTTCTCTCTATACAAAACCTATCTGGATTCCGCGAGTTTCATGACAAAGTATAAATCTAGGTTTGGCTAAATTTAATACATTTATTAAGTAATGTGATAAATAATTGGGAGAATGATAATTTTTTATACAGATTAACTGAAAGATATTTTTCTCAAGTTCTTATTTATTCAAAATTTTTCTAAAGAAAAAGTAAAACCTACTTTTCTAACGAAAAGTGAAGCTCACTGTTTTAAATGAAAAATTCTAATCATGATCAGCATATAATGAATCATGAGTAGTATGGCCCTAGGGCAGGCCAGTAGTGAGCTGAGTTAAACTCCAACTCGATTCAGGGAAGAAAAATGTGAAAGATTTTTGATTGCCAAATCACATCGCAGTGAACAGCATGGGCTTATTTTCAAATGGAAACATATTTTTAACCTATAATTTACAAGTAAAAATGGACATCGCTATTTATTAGGATACTCAAAATTAAAACTTCAGCATAAAGTATGTCAAGTAACCAATTCAGAATTCTAATACATAATGCTTGGTTCTGTTTTAGTTCTTTTACGACTTCTAAGCCGTATAAGGCAACTCATGAGAACAACGATTTCTCTGTTAACAATTATTGAATCGGTCGTATTCTTACAAATGAGGAAAAAAACTAGTGATTGCCTATTTAGATTACAAAATATTGTGGCCATAGGGCACAAACGCACAAGAAAGTCTGCCTTGCGAACTATGTGTAGGCGTACTCGAATCGTTTTATGAATACTACCGCCATGAATATTTATTGACTTGTTTTTTGACTTCTACACATCCGGGCCCAAGCTCTCAGACAGTGCAGCTAAGATATATTTTACAAGAAGTTTATAGTTTTGTTTATAAGTCAAATAAATTTATTTTTATTATTGTTGTTCACATGAGTCAGAAGTTCTTAACTTGGGTTGTATCGCCTGAGAGAACAGGGGAGCGATTAAAAGTACAAAAGATAAAAAGTCCAGTACACTGTGGATAAAATAGTAGTTCCTTAAAAAAATATGTGCTTTTAGCAGAATTTATATGAGCCGAATAAAATGTTCATTTTCTTTGGTCGTATGACTGAAATTACAAGCCATATATATGCATATTTAAAAGCTTTTATATATCTCCTATATGAGATGCGATAATAGAGACAAACATACAGAGACTACAGACAATACAAAATAAGGCATTGAGACTAGTACTAGACGCACTGAGTCAGTACGTCTAGTACTAGTCTCAAATAATAATTGCAACAGTATTATCCAATATATGAAAAAGTATAATAGCTGAGAGTAAAAAACTCTATATAACGCCCTTAATGAAATACATAT